CATACAAACATTCTTCCCCCTTGGAATTATAAAATGAGCCTGAGGCACGGCTTGCGGATATATCATTCACGGAAGGGCAAATATTATGATTTTCTGAAATTCCGAGACTCCCACCTCGAAATTGGCCAAAAATCATCCATGCACCATCTGACCTAACATCCCCTTCTTCCCCACCCACACCACCCTACGTACACTCGACAGATACAGCAATTCGGCTCGGCTCGGATCGGCTTGGCTCAGCTCGGCTCGTCTCACACACAAGCCGCAAAAAACTTTTTCTTCCGACGGTGATTACGGCTGCCCTACGGCAGACGGCGACAGTTTGCATGTGGAAGGTGGAAATGGGGTAGTATGTAGCGACTTTCGTTCGAGGCGAAGGAGCAGGGCTAGGACAGGTATCATAGATCACCAGCCGAGCCGAGCCGAGTTACTGTAATTGCCTGTGCGCTCTGGTACGTGTGGAAATTCATGTCTCTCTTCGATCTGGCAGCAAGCCAATCCCCTTGTTCTTGGCTTGATACCAAATTGGCATGCATGAGAGCAGTGGCGCTCATCCGCTTTATTCAAAATCGATTGTATCATTCAACAGATTTATACAGCGCAATCGCGCGTTTTCGCCTCAAATCGTGCTGTAACGAGAGAAAATGCTTGAACTCGCAGCATATCAACTGTCATATTCTCTGAAAATTTCAGCTTCCTAACTCGCAGCTGGCTCTCCAAATCGCTTTTCTGCGAAAAATAATTTGACATGCCCGTACGCGTAATGCAGGTGTAGACGAATGTTCGCCCCACATTTATGGACTCGCGCATAGGCAACAAATATTCCCGCAAAATTAGAGAAACTTATTCAGCCTGGTTACCGAATTGGCTCGCCGCCAACTATTACGAAATCGTAAATTTGTTGTGCGCGTTCAAATAGTGTGCGCATGCGTTCAAGCTGAATTTGAAATGTTTAGCTTGCATGAGAACACGGGATACCCTTATCAAGCTCTAAGTTGCCGTCTTCTCTGATCTCGGAATGCCTCTCCTACCACCAAAGGATACACATAAGTTATTCTCGCCACGTACATGAGATTAGGGCGTACGCGAATGGTGATTTTAAACGTGGAGCATATCACACGTGCAGTGGGAATGTGCTCGAAGAATTTTAACTTCCAAGCTTCACTGATTGCCGCCGAGTTGACAGTTTAGGTCTCGGACGTCGTAATAGCGCGCGGAGGAAGGCGGGGGAGGGGGTACCTTGCGTCAAGAGAAACATGTCAGCTTGCAGAGCAGTTCCCGAACAAAGATTACGGGGCGAGGGGAAAAAGCAACTGTAAAATGTGCGAAAAAAAGCCACCTCTAGCCCATATTTCGATGCGCACTCCCCTTCTCCCTCAGATCTAGAAAACGAGCTTCGAAACACATATCGATTAATGTGGTGTTTGCATGCATTGCCATGTTTCTTCCACTGAATACAATTTAATCATACACCGAAAATGACAAAACAACTTAGAAAGATTATTCATCAAAAGTTAAATTTTAGATTAAAATTAAAAAATTAAGAAAAGTTATCCATTAAAAATTAAATTTCAAATCGAAATTGAAAAAATGGAAAAACATTATTCATTAAAAATCAAACTTTAGATTAAAACTGAGAAAATGAAGAATGGATTCATAGATTCATTAAAAAATTAAAATGGATCCATTAAAAAAATGGATTCATTAAAATTAAATTTTAAATTAAAACTGAAAAAAAGAAAATGAAAAGATATCGTAATGGAAAGGACAA